CATATACATGCTTAAGCTAAACACGAAGCTACAAGAAGAAGCTATTTGCTAGCAAATCATTACTGTAGCCCTTTATAACCCACAAGTGTTTACTTTGAAAAGCTGTTTACAAACATATGTTGCAATCAGCTACAGTAACGATGGGAATAAAGCTGGATCGTGTTCAGGGCATTAACGGTGGTCTGTGCTTTTATAGGTCTACATTACTGCAAGGTTACCTAGCAGCTCTGCAGCTGCCATTTAAAAGGTTGCTGTAAAAAAATAAATAAAAACTAACTATATTACAAAGCCCCTGTGAATGATATTCACCTCAAAAGAGAAATATTAATTTTGAGGTGGAACACTTTATTTTCAATCTATCAAAAGTCTATTACAGAAATTATAGCTGAGCAGAGAAAGGGTTGACGAAGCGAGACAGGAAAGTCAGGGGATATCTGGTGGGTGGCTGCAAGGATGTTTTCAAAATGACACACTCAGAAGTACAGAGTGAAAGCATTATTTGATTTAGAGTAGATCTGGAGAGGGCAGTGCTGAGGGGGAGTTAAGCAGTACTGGAGAGTGCCTAGACAACAGGTATACAGAACACGACCACAGAGGAAGGCTCAGTACGAGAGGATGGGATTCACAAAGTATGACCGTGTTCAACAATGGCTTATCCCCTCTTTTCCTTCCGCTTTTCTACAGCTGAACACAAAAGCGAAACAATTCCCTTTTCAAGCCTGACTTAAAGGACTTCTAAGGGTTTTATCTAGTTCCATGCAAGAGACCTATAGTCTTATGTAGACCTACAGTATGTTTACAAGGCAAGGCTGAAAAAGGCACATGCCGTATGCATAACCCAATACCTTTGTTCACGTTCACAAGTTACAATTATATTACTCAGGATAGAAAACAAAAGAAAAGCTATTATATAACAACTGAAAGTGTTTTCTAGGCCATGTTGAGTTATGACTGATTTGTATTCAGACGGCTTCCTGATGAATCATTTACACCGTAAAACCCATTCACATATCTATGAGTACTGCGTAATACTCTGAACCTTTGGGTTTTCTCCAAGTCATATAAATATATGGTTTAACAATAAATGTAACAAAGAAAAAATGAATAACTTAATGCAAGGGTCCCCAACCTCTCGTCCGTGGACCGGTACATGTCCGTAGTTCATTTGTTACTGGGACACAATAACAAATGTACTTCGTTTTCACTAATTTACTTCATTCAAAGAGTATCCATTTACTTTCCTCATTCAAAAAAAAAATCTGACAACATTTCAAAATAATATGTCATTCAGACTCTGATACTATGAGAAAAAAGTTTTGAAAATTTAACAATTCTCCAAGGTGCTACTGGTCTGCAGTAAAGGCTGACACTGGCCAACCGATCAACTGACAGAAATGTACTGAAAGAAATAAAGCAGTTCTAAAAACGTTAGTGAGAGAAAAAGTTCCTTGCAAAAGGAAAATTAGAGAAAAGCTTTTCAGAAGACTGTTTCAAGTCTAAAAATGAAGAGGAAATCCTTCAAATTGCAGTTGAAAAGTCAATCACTCATTAAGAGTTCAAAGACTTGACCATGACAGTCGAGACCATTAGAGATTAGTTATCTCTAACTTCTAACTTTTAAAATATAAGTCCCCAGAAAAAAAGGGAAACACTGGTTTAGAGAAGTATAACTACTAGTGTTCCCTCATACATACATCAACCAGAAACTGAAGAAGTTCCTCAGTTGAGGAAAGAAATGTCTTTCAAGCTCCAAGAAGAAGTCCATTTACAACATAACTTACACTTACAACTTAACTCTTTGGAGACTGCAGTACCGTGTTTTCAACACTGGTTTGATACTCTCTTATTTTGTGTGGAGTTAGTAGGGTTTCAATGGCATTTTTTCAGGGTATTCTGGAGTTTTTTTTTCTAGTCCAAAACATGGAGGATTATGTTACGTGACTGTAGGTATTACATGCACCACTCTCCATCATCTGGGGAACTGTACAGCGCATACGCCAACGTCCCTAACAATAGTAAGTGGTAGAAAATGAATCAATAGATACTTTAAAATATTATATATTTTTAATATTAAAATATTATATATATATAATTTTTTTTAATATGAATATTAATATCAATTAATAGCAATACAAAGACAATGGTATGCTCACTACAAGGTTTCTACCATCTGATCATGGTGACACAGTTGACTACAATATGAACCATTTATTTTTCTCCAACAATGACTAGGAGTCCCTCCTTTCCCTCTGACAGATGGAGGGGACCAACCATAAAGCAGGAGCAGGAATTATTAAGTCAGCCCAAAGCCCTGCGGGGGTAGTTTTAATTGTGTTCGCTAGCGCTGTAGGCATAACTTACCTGATTGCAGCAATAACTAACTGCCTTCACAGAGACAAACGAGATCTTCTGCGGATGTTTAGAACATGATTTGTGCCCTGAAAGTTCCTCCGGGAGAAGACGGCGGGGAGAGACAGCGACGCAAGGAATGAGCAGATTGGATGCTCTCTGCTGGAGTGAGCTGTGTCCAGCTGGAGAGACTCAGACACCTGGCTAATGCATCCACGTCTCATAATTTACAGCAGGCCCGCCACTGTGGGGGGTTAGCAATGTCAGCGTGATACTCTACAGAGGCCTGAGCCTGTGGCCTCAACCTTCACTGTGTGGAAAACACAACACTCATTCAACGCATTAAATCATTGGCCTTTTCGTACTGCTGCGTGTCTGTCTCAGCCATTGAATACATTTTGAGAAACGGGAAAACATCAGGACACGTAAATAAAATGGGCTTTTAGGATGTCACGTAATGCAAACATGACACTATCCATCGAGAAAGGAAATCAATCAAATAAATATTTTTTGTTAAACATAATAAATAATAATAAATGACTCCGAATGCACTCCATAAAGGTTGAGACCAAAGCATGTTATTGGAAGATATCTTAAACGAATGGTATGTCTTTCTAAAATTCAAATGCAAGAATCTGAATCAAATGTGTATTTACAGGTACGCAGGTCCACCATGTCATTTTTACTAATACATCCAGACTGTTACAGATGTTGGCTTTTGATTTGTTGCTCTCTCAAACACAGCTCCTCTGGACAAGCTTCAAAAGTACCACCTCAGTGCAGTGATGTCACATACATAATATTCAGCCATGCTACAGCTGTACGGATTCGGCACCATCTTCCTGCAGCTCTGACCTGGATTACCAGTTCTAGAAGAACTTCTTAAGAAACCCAGCGGGGAGTCGAAACTTTCCCGGAGAAACAAATGTGGTTAAAAGCGGTGATGATCGTCAACAATTGCCCTGAAGCACTAATAAATATTTATACTCACTCTTGTCTCTAGCACACAGAAAAAAAAGACCAAGGCAGACAAACAGAAATACCACTGGGGCCTCTTTAATCCTAGATTAACTGCTATTAGAAAAATCAAATCATCAGGACTGGCTAATTGCAATGGTGAAGGTTTGATATGAGATTAACACTTTGAATGGATGAAACCCAAAGGGATTAACAAGTGTTTACCAGACAAGTCCTATCTATTATAATACAGGGGTCCTCAACTTACATCTGTTCTGTTCCTACAGTGCAGCAAAACTCGATTTTCGCCATAAGTCAGAACTCACATACTCTACATTAGTACCTATGTCACTCACCTACGCTAACACAGTGGTAACATCATAATCTTGGACAGAAACATCGTAAGAGTCAGACTTATGCTTGGGAGCCATAATGAAGGGCAAAAAGTTCCCAAAAAAAACCCAACACAAACAAAAGAAAGCGAATGTAGCACAATCGAACGTACGACGTACCACTGGCAAATGTAAACAAAGCGATCTTCTGCGTGTAGCACCGCATACGATAAGTCTGCTCACCAACTAGTTCCTGTGTGAAATTTGTTTTCGTGCGGTACGTCGGAATGATGGAACAGGAGTTTCTGAATTAAGTTATGGGAGATGGCGGCGTAAGCATGAAACGCTGTAGGTTGAGGACGTCGTAAACCGAGGACCTCCTATAACTTTCTTTCCTTTACCTTGACATGGAGACGGATACATTCACTGTACGTCATATGTTCGCTCTGCTCGCTAACTAGTTCCTGTGAAATTTGTTTTAGCGCCGTACGTCGGAATGATAGAACAGGGTTTTCTGAATAAAGTTATGAGAGATGGCAATGTAAGCATAAAAACGCTGTAGGTTGAGGACGTCGTAAACCGAGGACCTCCTATAACTTTCTTTCCTGTACCTCGACGTAAAGATGGATACATTTACTGTGCGTCAGTCAGACTTACGTGTATTCTTCTTGGGTGAAGATAGGGATGCGAGACGGCTGAAGGACAGTGACCTCCACCAGGGTGCTGTTGGTCTTCACCGGTTCTCCGTCATCAAAGGCTATCAAAAATAACTGTGAAGAACAAGGACAGAGAGAGCATTAAAAAAAAAACACAAATATCACTTTGACTCTCATGCTGCTTCTCGGAAATTGGGACGGGCATGAAAAGAAGAAATAAGTAATTATTCATCTACCGTAATAAATAATCAATTAATAGCTGGCAACATTTGGCAAGTGACACAGCGAAAAACGTCCGTTCCTGCTCTCTGCGGTAATCACTCTAAAATAAAGTTCCCAAGCATTTGTTGCGGACACGTCCAGCATTCCAATAAAGCAATTTCTGGAAAAATAGACTCTGGCACAGAGCCTGCAAAGCTTCCTGGAAGTGAGTATGAATGTATTGATTTACATTCACAGACTGCGGAGGCTGCGGCCCGGGTGAAACGGGAGGGAGGAGCGACAGGACGGAGAGGCTGGCACAATTAAACACACACACACGTTTAAAGACATTCGAGGAAGCATGAGTGAGAAGATGGAGTGTGACACACTTTCATTATGATTTAGCAGGGGCAGATCTGAAGGGATATTATATTTGGTAATACGACTTCATCCTCATCCAACCAAGTATTTTTCCAAGGGCCAGATTTATTAAATGAAAATCATGTTTTTTTCCCCGAACATTATTACTCGATGTGTATTTTGAAATTCAGTCAGGGGCTCGACCGCACGGTATGGTGGGCCACACTCGGCCTGCGGGCCACCAGTTGATGAACACCTGGCCTTGAATCTCAGGGGCATCTGTAAATAGACCACCGACCGACAGACAGCAATTTCATCATCCTTCTGACTAAACCAAGTCAGAAAAGTGTGGGGGAATGTGATTTTAAGGAACCCACGGGCCAACATTTCCGGTCCAGACTTTATAACAGAATTTAACATCATCTGTGAGCCAGAGCAGCAGCAGCAGCAGAAAAAAAAAACGCTGTTAGAATTGATTTAAATGCTGTAGATGGTCAGAATCCCTCTCGCCCCCCCCATAAGTGTGTTACAGTCTAAATTAGTGACAGTGCTCACTACTTCATGCAAACCTGCCTCCTAGGCGTTATTGAATAAAGGATGGTATGACATGGAATAGGTGTTTTAAATATTTACATTGTAAAGATTAAGCAGGAAAAATATCTTCAAATCTTTGTCCCCAGTGTTCATAATTGTATTTAATTATAGGATATAATTGAAAGCTCCAGGCTGGTTGACGATACAGACTTTGAATTACTGCTTTATGATGTTTTGTGTTTGTTCATAAATTTTGTCACTGGATTTGTCATTCATCAGTATATCGCCGCCCTCAAGTTTGTTTATTTTTTAAAGCAGACTTTGAGCAGATGGCCTATAAATATAGTAATCTCAAAGTCCAACAAGCCTAAGACATATATTTATATACGTATATATATATGTATATATCGGTTTTTTTTAATCTCTACGACTAACATCAGGAAAACCAGACTACAAAGTTTTTTTTAATCTCTACAACTAACATCAGGAAAACCAGACTACAAACTAGTACTTCTCAAATAGTGGGGCGAGCCCCCCGAGTGGGCACGGGGGTTCGATGGGTGGGAGTGAGAATATGGTACACTGGCCAACAAGCCTCCAGTCACTAGGTGGCAGCAACTCAAACAGGGTTTTGGAAAGATAAGAAAATACAGTATACTGTATATTATCAGGTTCTCAATAGTGTTACTATTCAGGGGGCAAGGGTGTAAAAGTTATGTTCCTCTACAGGTGGCATGACAGAAAAATAACTAAACTAATTTTTAGTGGGTCACATAAATGATAGTGGGCCGCATTTGGTCCACGGGCCTTGAGTTTGACGTATGCGCATTACTTCATGACACTTATTCTGTCTCATGTGTTTTTTTTGTATTCTTGTCTGAGGAGCTAATTAGCTTGTCACCTGTGCAGCGCCACCTAAAGCAGATCCATTTACAGCAACCATAATTGTCTCTGACAGGACTAAGAAAAAAGGTAATGACTATCATCTTGGAGGAATCAGAGTGAATTTAACACAGCAGCAGCAGCAGGAGCAGGAGCAGCTGCAGCAGTGTTATCAACGCCACTTACCTTAAAGGTGACACTGGGCTCTTCATTTAGGTTGACCTTAGTAATGACTCTTCCTGTCTCCTCTTCCACATCAAAGATGCTGCCACTGTAGGGAGACCTGTCGTGGTCCACTCTGTACCTGACCAGACTGGCCGGAGTACCCTGAAGGAAAGAAAGGAAGAAAGAAAGAAAGAAAGAAAAAAAGGAAAGAAAGAATGAACAAAAGAAAGAAAGGAAGAAAGAAAGAAAAAGGAAGAAATGGAAATAGAGCTTGTGAATGAAAAAAGAAAGAAAGACAGAAGGAAAGAAAAAGAAAGGAAGAAATCATGAACAAAGATAGGAAGAAAAAAATAATGAAAGAAAGAATGAAAGAAAGAAGGCTTGTTTAACAAAACGTATCACTTTCTTTCAAGCTGGGTTTATACACACATATACAACATCAGTATACAAACCCTGCATCAGGATCCCATGATATGATTATAATTACAAGCATAGAAATTCTAAAATAAATAAAAATGGTTTTAATGATTGTATGTTCATTCCTGCACTGTTTGTGTTGTGTTCCACAAGCGAAAAAAAAAAAAAATCACATTTCACCTGGGTGTCAGGACAATGTTAGCTTTGGAGTGGAGTTAAAGGAGAGCAATTCAAACCCAGAGTATTTCACGAATCAATTTAATCCCAATATGAACAGTTCACATTCTGTAATCTAGTAAAGATTACTTTCTATACTACTATATCTATATTAAAACCCTTATCTAGCCTTAGTCCTTGATGGTCTGTCTCATCAGTACTGTATTATAATATCAATGTTATTCATCGATTCAGACTGTATCCCTCTCATTAAAAAAAACAACCTCCCTATTAAATTCCATCTCCAGAGTAACACCCTCTCATTCAATAGCAAGAGCCTTGGCTTTATAATGACCCTTTGATTAACACTAATCACGGTTCCTGATTGCTAATTATCTCCTTATCTTATGGACTCATTTCTCCCTCTTGGGTGTGGAATTCCTGAGATTTCTTTTATAGGCTTCAGCTCTTGGACACGTGAGGTTAAAACCCTGGGCTGGAGTAGAAAGGTGAATAGTGAATAATCAGCTAAGGGTACTCACACACAGGTCTCTCTCAATATTGACTCTCTATATAATGGTAAAATGATGTGTATGTACATTGAAAAGCAATGGAACAGTTAATGAAAACGCTCTCGACCTTTTGGTTTAACTGTGTTGCGTCGGAGTGTGTGTTATTCAGTTCTTACACATTTTAAATATATATATTGAGGGTATATATTTGCGATGGCTCAATCTGATACGCAGGATCGGTATCGATCCGATAATTGGTCAAAATCTCAGAATCATCGAAATAAACAAACAACTATAGTCCCAAACGCTCGACTTAACTTTGCGTGACATTCCGCAAAAAGGGAAACTATCGCCTTAGTAATGGCGGCATGGCAAGATACTCCACATTGAAGCATCGCTATCAAACACAAAAAGTTGTATCTAGCCTTTAGTATATATTGAGGGTATATATTATACATTATGCAGTGTTTCCTGGGGACCATGTTTTAAAAGTCAAACCTTCCCGACCTAAGTCAATAGACATTGTTGTAAACTCCTGGGAAACGAAAATGATGCGAGACGACCCAAAAAAAATTTCAGTACGTGATACAAAAAAGCCTCTGGAAAACACTTCAGCGACATAGTAATTCCCACACAGCTAAATTTTACAGTATATCGATGACCTCATCATTTATATCAGTGGTGTCAAACTCATATGGCCTAATTAGCTGTGAAGTGGGCCGGCCCAGCACAATCATAATTATCTTAAATAGTACACATTTATTGCTCTCTTGTTTTCCCTCCAATAAGTATATTAGAAAATATTCATATTTAATGAAATATAATTTGAAAAAAAACCATCTTTTTTTCACTTTCAAAATTCATCAAAACTGCTAATTAGGGAAAATTAAACGCATTAACATTGTTTTTGCTTGTATTTGATTTCGAACACAGAGACACGTCTTGTGCCTGATAAAGGTCATACTTCACACCTCACCACTAAAATGTGGTTATGAAAACAGTGACAATATTTTGTATGAATTAATTAGGGATCAAGGGTCAGAGCCATCATTGATTATACTGTAAATCTAGGTTATAGATTTCAGTAGATTCCACTGCATTTGATTGACTAATTAAATTACTATTACTTTGTAACATTTGCTAAGGATTGCTCTTCTACCACATAAATGAACAGCATGTTGACACTAACAGGAAATATTACTAGTCTTACCAGTTAAAAAAAAAAGCTAACTCTGTCTCACTAATCTAATTCATCTATTGATTTATTAGTATATGGAAGTAATAGAGCAACTAAAAAGGTGAAGCAGTGACTAATTATGTGGGTTTAAACAGTGGAGTTTACAGCATTGAGTTGTTGTCTGGTGTTCCAAACGAGATAAATACATTTTTAATATCCATTAAATTCACAGTCATTAATGTAACAGATGAGCAACAAAAACATTTTCCAGCATCAAAATAAATATTCCTACCTCAAAGAACTATGAAAAAAAATAAAGTTTTAGTTATGTGACAGATAAACATTTAATAACAAAATGAAAAACAAGTAATTAATTTTTTTTTTTTTTAATTTATTGTTGTCTTTGAACCAGATATACAGTGTTCCCTCTCTATATCGTGGTTCCTCTTTCGTTCCCTCAGAACATCGCAGATTTTTTTTTATCCGATCTCACGAAATGCTATATCGCAATGCATATTTAAAAATGTGGATTCTCTTTTAGAAATTGAGATAATCGCATTGGCAAATGATCACTGGTAGCTTTGTTTACCTAGACGAGATCGTACACAGCATACTATTGGCTAATACAATGCCTACTTGGTGTACTTTTGGATAATTGAGCATGCTCTTCTGCTCCTCACGCTGATTGGCTCATGCGTCGTCGCATCTCTCAGCATCTCCCCACGTCTCTCTCGTTCACTTCGCTCTGCGTCGCCATTCTACAGCTCTATTGTGTATATAATTGTGTGGGAAATGGTAATACAGTCGAGGGAGGGCTGATAACAGTGTGGGGGAGGTTCGTAAAGGGTAAATAATATAATAAAAATATTGCCTCTACTTGTGGATTTTTCTCATTTCGTGGTGGGAACACGACTATCGCAATAGGAGAAAAGATTACTGTACAGTGATTTTAAATGTAAGGCTGCCATGTTGTATTACTTGCTGCCTCTGTTTTTCCAATGAAATTACAATAAATCTGAAATTCACTTTAGAGATTAGAGACTGTTGGCCCTTTTGGCCAGGTTGCCTTTGTGAGTGAGATCTTGATCTCACTGGGTTTATCAGGTTAAATAAAGGAAACAGAACCTTATATCTAATTAAATATAAACTTCGAGTCAGAGACACAAACAGTATTTTTCCACTAATGATTTGCTAAGAGAAGAGACTGGATAACCCACAAATGCATACATGCTTAATGAGGGAAAATCACTGCAGACAACCGTTTCTTATACACACACTCAAGTCTGCGTGCACGGAGGTCTTTTGAAATCTGTGTGCGCATGTATATTTTTAATGATACAGGAGCAGATAAACCTCGACCTGAAATGCTGAACTCTGAAACTTTGGTACTGTTTTTGTTTTTACAAATTTGAATGTAAAACTGTAAATAACAGTACAATAGTAATCTAAGTCTAAGATTGTTTTTGGGGGGGGAATTCATTTTTCTTAAGATTCCAAATAATGCATTTCACCTGCCTATTTTCATCGTTTTTAGCAGGGGTATCAAACCTCCGTCTCACGGGCCGATTTCAGCCCGCAAACTGCCTAAAATCCGGCCCTTAACTAGATTTCCATTATGATTTTGCTCTTCAGGATTACAATTTTTTTTTTATTTTCAATCATTTTGCACATTCATCAATCAGTAAAATCAGAATTCAGATAGAGCTGGAATAATATATGTTAAATATTTTCAATTATTTTTGGGGGATTTAAAAATTTGAATGTGGCTTTGATTTCATAAGCAAAACTGAAAAAGCAAAAACGATAACATCTGTCTGAGAACCTCCTGACTTTTCTTCCTATGTTAAGGTGGTGGTTAGCATGTGCTTTATGCAGTATCTACACAATGTACTCAGAACTAGGTGTGTGTGTCGGCCAGTACATGTACAGTCAATAAACCCTAAAGCAAATGGACGTTAGAATGACAGACATCCTGTCAATAAAATCCTTTGAGCTTTCAGACCTCCACTCAATAAGCGACTGAGTTAGTTGACTCCTCTCCCAAACCTAATCCCTCTTCCTGTCAAACCACTTGTCTGAGTCGCAACAATATTTCACATTTTGTTTCTGGTGACAGATATAGATATTCCCTTCGCTAGCGCCGTACCAGACTCAGGCGGCGGCAGGAGAACTCGGCTGCTGCAACAGAGTCACTAATTATGTGCCTCAGATCTCGTCGTACTTCACGCACTCTTTAGTCAAAAGCTGAAAGGTCATCGAGGTCAGTTCTCTGCAATGTGACTTAAAACAACAGCAGCTAATTGGCTGGAGTAAAAAAAAAAAAAAAAAAAAAGCCGCATTTCAGACTATGACAGATAACGTTCACAGGAGTGCTACTGAGCCGCATATGTGTCTTTAATGAGAATGGTAATATTCCACAGTGAAGAACTGCAGTCCACTTAGGGCTGTGCTTCCTTCTCATATGCTGCTTTCAGACTGCTACTCATTATGGTATTTGACTCTTTTGCTGCGTGCGCACGGCAGAATAATGTGTGAAAACTACATTATTTAGGTGCAAACCCATAAAAGTTCTACACTACTAGACAAGAAGATAACAAGAATAGATACACAGTACAACAGTAGCAGCACACCATCAAAGAATAGGGAAAACTTGAACCGTGGATATCAGTGGATATCAGTAGATGTTGATACCATGTTTTCTGGACTATAAGTCGCACATTTTTCCGGGTTTGCAACTTATACTCAGGTGCAACATATACAGTATATTAAAATATATAATTTCACGTTTGTTATTTTCACACTAACAGACACTAGAGGGGTTCGTTTTTTACACCGAAAGCCACTAGAGGGCACTCTAGGCTTGTGTACCAGTATTTGCTACTCCTGTACCACTGAAAATGTACTTTTGCTTTTTTCGCACTGACAGTTAGTAATACTAATTGTTGAGATATCACTCAGTCAACAATAAAATATCCTCATTAATTGTCAAGTACACCTTTATTTTGTGATTTACGAATAATGTCTGTTGACTTGGGTCGCGAATGTTTGACTTTTAAAATATGGGTGCCCAGAAAAAAAGTTTGGGAAACACTGATCTATGGGATTGACTCCTGTATTAGTTAACAAGGGAGTAAATTGGGAGTTGAGCGTGGAAAAAAGTATTTGCTGAAAATCTTCTAGGTTAGTATCAAAAATTGAATCCATAATTTTCAAAACTCCAGAAGCAAAAAGAAGTACTTCAAGAAGAAGAACTTGCCAGGGCAAAGAAGACTAAAGAAAGTCGACAGTGACTGTCAACTGGTACGTGACTCATGCACGTGTACATGCTCCCTCTCAACAAGAACTGTTAACTGCGGCGTGCTTTAGAAGAATGCAAAAGTAGTCTTTTCACTTAGAAAGTGTCACACACGGTGTGAAATCAAACCCTCGCCCTCCATCCCACTGTATCAGCAGACCGCGTATGTTTCAGTATGCATCAGTACATCACTTGAAATATTCAGGTCGTACTCACAGGTGGATCTCTGTCCTCAGCGAAAACCTTGGTGATAACTGTTCCCTTTTCTGCGTTCGGTGCCACCATACCCTTATACAGGTCCTGACTAAAGATGGGGGAGAAGTCATTCATGTCCTAAAATAAAAACACAAACAGTCAATTGATATTCACACAAATGTATTTGAGTCATAGTTGAGACTGTGACAGAATATAAACACTTCATTATGTGACAGTGCACACTGTTATCTGGCCTGGACAGCACAGAGGTATTTAGTCACACTCCAGCAGGTAAGAATAAGTACTACTGTAAATAACCCTTTGGCGATAGACAACAGTTGACACTAAAAAGCTCCAAATAAATTACAAATGTTTTCCACTTGACTGAGTTCTTGTGCTAGTGTTGTCTTCATGCTAAAACACATTTGTAATTTTAATAAAGCCGTGCGGATTCCTCAGCTGCTGCCTTTTCTAATTTCAGCTAACACGTCGCACTGAAGCTCTCACTGATTATTTGGCATGGTTTAGACCAGTGTTTCCCAAGCTTTTTTGAGTCACGGCACATATATATCATTAGCTCAAAAAAACCCTACGGCACACCACCAAACAAACATCTCACAAAAAGTATATGTAATGAAATATAATAATTTTCTAGTTTAAATCACCTCATAATTGACTAAAATCTCAGCCTGTTTAGTTGAAGAAAATGCTGATATACTGGCAGGAATTGAAGAAAGACACTCACACCTTCTTCAACAGCTCCTAGTTTTTTAGTTTTTTTTTTTTTTTTTAGTTTTAATAGCCCTCTGCTGCCACCTGGCAGAATAGGATTTATTGCATTTCCTCTCACGCATTGACCAACAAAGAAAACAGATAATTTTCCACGGCACAGTGGTTGGGAATCACTGGTTTAGACGTCAATGTGCATTTGAGGTCATGTGACGTTTGACGCGTTGTAACATGTTAATTCATAATTAAAACTTCTACTTAGGATGTATTCTTACCATGCACAAAAATTACCCAGCTATCGTTGGGTAGAGACATTGTTAATGTTAGCGGTGGAGTATATTCCTTAGGCAAAGCATTGAACGAGTTTTGTTTGGAGTCAGTGATTTACAGCTCCCCAGAGCAGATATGAGAAGTTAACATCAGCACAGCCTTTAATCACCTTCCTCCTGTAAATTATACACAGCACAGCTTCACCATATGGTGGTAAAAAAAAAAAAAAAGTCAACTGTGCAACCTTTCGCTTTATTGTGTGAGTAATGTACTGACGTCTCTGAGGTATAAAGTAACTCCGAGCCGAATCGGTGCCGTGTGATCTTTTGTTGTCGCGACCTTACCCTTAACCTTTCTCACCTCTGAGGAAACTGTGTTCACCAGTAAGTGTTCTACGAACACAGAGGTGCACGGCAGCCTCCCTGTGATCGATACACGGGGTTAACATTATCTGGCACAAAATCCATGATGGACTACCTGCCGTGAAGGATGAAGCTAAGGTGGGAAAAAAGTGCACACGTGATCGAGTGTGTGGCTGTGTTTAAACTTCCAGGTCAATGAGGTTGTGTTGCAATTTTGGAAATGCAGATTTAAAAAAAAAAAAGAAATGTTTAAATATTTGGTACCTAACCTTTCTTGTACCAAGGACTCGTTGACCAGTAGGGGTCGTTAAACATCCTTTTTAGAGTCTGTTTATAAAAGGATGACGTATTACAAAATATTGTCGGATTATCTTTGAAAGACAACGTAAAGGGATATGACTGGATATTCTTGGAATAAAGTAAATTGGTCAAAAAAATTAAGTACATTTTTCATTGTATCCCAATGCTGCCCGGCAACAAATGACCTATGGACCAGTACCGGTCCACAGACCTGGGTTTGCAGGTCCATGAATATATTATGACTACCTCTCATTTACGGTTTTCAATTCCAAAGAGACAGCTCTGGTTTATTAAGTGCAAAACTCTTTCCTATCAAACGTTTTCCGAGTAACAGCATGAAGACAGCACGAACACTCGTCCTTGTCTGAGGATAAAGTGACTCCACGGGCTGGCAGAACACGCTGGCGAGCCTCCGTGAATACGGTGTTTTCCATTTGCTCTAATATAGAGTGTTTCATTCCACAGACACGGAGATTATCACTGCAGCTCGGCCGTACGTGAACGAACGAGATGCGCATTGTTGTCCGGCGCTCACAAAGGGAACCGAGGCCACAGTGCCACGGAGGACGACATGAATGGTATCACAACACAGGGCACTTAATCCTTTTGGTGCTGTTTAGTTTTGAATGTTCTGAAAGGTTGGAAAGGGAGCTGGAGCGCGTGGAAAACCAGACATAAATTGGTGTTACTGAGCCAATGACTCATCCAGACCTGGAACAGCAGGATTTGAAGAGCACACACACACACACACACACACACACAAACCCATTCATTAGTTCTCTTTGTCCCGGTGATGCCATGAGGACAAGCAGGTTGGGAGGCCAAATTGCGTTGACAAAAGAAAAGTCATTTGAGTGAACGGCCTAATGATGGATTTCATATTACAACAGCAGCACAGGTGCCTCGCTGAACAATATGCTATTTTGGGAACATTGCTCAGGAAGTTACGTGACCACTGCAAAAACTCACACATGCACGCACGGGGAAGCTGCAGCTCACCGGCGTCTCTCACCGGGAGTCTTTCTTACCTTGATGCGGACTGTGACGGTAGCTTCACCTGGAGGCATGACACCTTCATGGTCCACAGCCTCCACCTGAAATGTATAAGTGGCACCCATGCCCATTGCTGCCAGGCCTTCAAAATCCAGAGTCTGCAGCACCGCTACCTCCCCTGTGATGTAGTTCAGAGAGAACAGCTGTCCGGCCGACTCAGTTTTGATCCGATAAGTGACATTGGAGAAAAGGTCAGCGTCAACAGCCTATGGAAAGAGGGAGGAGGGGAATTAAATGAATAACAAAAAAATATACAAGTGCAAAGATAATGAGTTGTAGTAGGAGGGGAAAAGAAGCCGAATATATTTTTAAAATTCAAAGATTATACGTTGGCTCAAAGGCTGAGAGCAATAAAAAAAAGAATGTTTCTCGGTTGAATTTTTATGCAGCAGGGGTTACTTACATTAATCATTTATACATTCCAGCCTAATAGATTTAGTTGGTCCCAAATGGTGTTAAGCCTCAAAGCAGATATAATTAGCACAGGCGTTAGGAGGTAGGAGTTGAGGATTCGAGGATGTATACATGCTGTGCATGACAGTGTGTTCACCGATCATCTGACTATAACTGATATTTTAACGCTGCACTGTTTGGTTATCAACAAGGTCAAGACCAACTGAAATATAATAAATATTTCACACTGAAATGAAGAAAGACCAAAGGAAGTTTGCATCACACCGGAGATGGAATGATTTGATACAATCATTTGGATTTGATGTCTTTGTTTTCGGGGGGGCTAGAAAAACAATCCGTTACTTTACAAAAGATTTGTCCTTGTGCTAGCAGAATGAATGTTTAAGTGTTCGTACCTAACACTACATCATGTGTCGTGTCTAGTAATGGCTTGATACAACTTTTCGATACTGATACCAATACTCAAAGTTGGAGTATCTGCCGATACCAATATCAATCAAGTAAACATTTGGGTTTAGGTATCGGATTAACAGGCAGGTAACGGGCTATAGTTGTTGTTTTTTTTTCGATGTTCGATGCTAAAATTTTGACCAACATCGGATCGAAGATTCGAGTTTTGTACGATAGGCTTTTGAAGTAAATCACTAAAACAAAGATCGCAGCCCTGGTGGTGGTGGGCAGCAGATGTCCACACAGCTTAGCCACTTCTCTTCTGTTGGAGACTGGCCGGCTCACATCGGCGTTTAGATTTAAAAACCTCCTACATTCGTTTAGGGTTGCTATGCAGTTGTCGGGGAGATTAATAGTGTCACAGCGTCACCACTGTCACTCACAGACCTCACTACTCACCTTCGCTTTTCTGTGGCCTCCTTCCCATTTTATCCCTCAGTGAGAAATGTCAATTACATTACTCTGGCAATTACTCACCCCTCCACCTCCCCCTCCCACTACCTCCCCCTCCCACTATGCGTTTCCTCTGCATGCAGACCGCTCACCTAGACTTCCCCTCAGGGCATATACTGCACGTGCACTAACGTTGTAGAGATTTGACCGCACCGGACAATTTTTCAGAGCTCATACGTTATGATAACATTTGGCCCAGACGGAGGAAATTGTTGGAACTGACACGAGGTTTTAAAACAGTTTGAGGCTGAAAGGCTTCGACAGCCACGGCAAAGAGGAAACATATTTAGAATTTAGTAGGGTTTTGTTTGTGTAACTGTTTCCATCTGTGGAAATAAACACGACATTTGAAAAACCATAACAGCTGCCACCAAAAGCTATTTCTTTGGCTCATTGTTTTAGGCTTCAAGAGTGCAGATTATACAGACAGCTAACATGTAGAGTAATAAAATTGAAAAAAAAAAAAAAAAAAAGGACTCACGCTGAGCGTTAGCACCACGGTCCCGACTGGGCTGTTTTCAGGGACGCTCACTTCATAGGTTGGCTGGGAAAACACAGGGCTGTTGTCATCAATATCCGTGACTTTGATCGAGAGGGTAATGGTGGTCCGGCGTGGATCTACGGCGCCATCTGAGGACTCCACCACCAGGTCATACTGACTTTTGCGTTCCCGATCCAGAGGCACCTTAGTGTAAATGCTGCCGTTCTCACTGATTATGAACAGGTCAGGGTGATTTACTATCCGGTAACGCACCTGGCCATTCGCCCCTGCATCTGGGTCTGTGGCCTGCAGAGAGATGAAGGCATGATTAGAGGGACTTGTCATTGAACCACACTCTGTGCTGTGTCTACAATGTGTACATCCTTGATGTTTTCTTCATTTAAGGTGGCGTAAGAACGGGGAGTAGTAGTTTCCAACAAAACGATTTGTTCCGGTTTAAATTAATAACTACGGATGTCCAATATTTTTTTTTTGCCGATATTGTCCAAACACTTCATTTCCGATTCTGATATCAACCGATACCATTAAATCAAACAACGATAACGATTCTTACAGCTATTACAAAACTATCGGACCAATAATATCGGCGAGCCCATATTATCGGACATCCCTACTATTAACTAATAAATCCGCATCGATCAAATTTCAACTTCACAGCAAGTCAGGGTCTGATAAAGGGTTAATGAAAGCTTCAACGCTGGTGCAAAAACATTAGAGTCATAGAGAAATTAGAGAAAATTAGAGGTTGTTTACCTGAAGTGGCTAAAAGGGTCTGGACTATACATCAAGCCATTCATTTTACAGTCATGCTGCTTCACGTGTTTGGAAAACATCTATATCTGGAAGCCTGATGTCATTAAGCAGCAAATTTACAAAGTTCCTGCTTTTAATTCCATCTGTACGTAAACTTTTGGGGACGACAGTTTAGCACCGCTGCACTCAACAGGTTGATACAAATGTACATTATAACTGCATCTCTTCCTGAGGCACATTTTCTCTTTCCATTACCCAAAATAATTGAAAAGTGCGAAAGTGCACCTCTACTCACAGCATCGATGTATTTTTTTACAAGTTAAATATATGAATATTAGAATAACAAAAAAAAAAAAGTACTCATTTGCTAACATTGACAAACCTTAGAGGTTGGCTTATTATCACAGCCATGAATTTACTTTCACAAACGGAATATCAAAGTCTATTACAAATATCTAGATGTCTTTTATTAATCAAATGGAAATCGTAAAAATAAATAGGTGAGTTGAGGATAGTTAGTTTTTCTTTAAATATCATTATCTGTTAAAAAAAAAACAACAACAAAAAAAACTCTTGATTAAACATCTGAAAAAAGAACAAGAGCAACACTGACTAAGCTATCCTTCGAAAGTGCCTTAGAATCATGAGAAGCCTTTATGCGACTGATAGTTAGAGCTCGACTCTGTCTAACAGGGAGGACCTGTTAATAAACAGTCTGAGTTCAGTACCCTGACCCTGACCCTGATGACGAACTCATGCTAACAGAAGAGGCATGTGTGGAATTTAAATGAATGGAAACTACACGGGCATCGCCGAGTAGATTTAGTCTTTTCCTCTCAACAAACATGGTGAAATTGTCTGAACGTGCGGCATGACCTAGTTGACGGGCGTGAAAAATGAAGATAAGAGAACCGGAGTGAAATTTCGTATGGAAATTCAGAAGGCAATCAGAGAAAGAGAGAGTAGCACACAGAAAGCCTGTGCCTGTACACACATCATCTGTATGCCGGACGCATCAAAGGTTTATAATAATACAATCTCAAACACTGTAAGTGATGTCAGTTTGTCACATGAGGTTGAGAGCCATCTGCAGCTGAAGTGTAACGGCTATGTGCATGCGATGACGGAAACGAGGAAAGGCCGGAGAGAAGAGACGGAAACTTTCTGTTTGTACTCAGGAGGGAACTATATACTGCAGTACGGGGTGTCAAACTTCATATTTAGTGAACAATTGAAGGCAATTGTGCATGTATTCCCTGTTCTCCAGATATGTAATGTTGAATTTTTGTCATATGGAAACAAACTTTTGTTTCTATTTGTTTCTTATTATATCTCTTTATCTGTAGCTTTTTGAGTTCCTTTTTAATGACAGTGGTGATGGCTGTCCTGAATCCTGAAACATAATGACAGAAAGCGAGACAGAGAGCAAAACTCACTGGTTAACTAAAACCGCAAACACATCGTTTCACTAGACGCGTATTAGCGATGGTTTGATACAAGTTTTTCATGTCGATACCGATTCCGCAACTTAGCGTATCTGCCGATACCGATATCGATATCGATCTCGATCCGATACCTTCTTTTCTCCTCCAGCGTGCCACACTTCCATCACTGAATATTTCGCAAAACCCAGTCATTGCGTTATCAGGTTTTCATTATCGGACGTGAAACCAATAATGATTCTTACAGATATTATCATAATTATGCTAATATCAGGGCGATAATATCGGACGGCCGATATGTTACCGATGTTAGTGGTTATTACAAATCAGTACAGCCTCACAGCCTTTCGTCAGTAGGTCAAAAGTCGCTAACATGAACGCTCATCCCTTGATACCGCGGTCGTCTGCATGTCACGTCAGGACCACTCACTATCAGCCCACAGTCACAAAGCGAGGGATTCTGCTCGCAGATATAACAATGCTGTCATTTCTGATAACGTGCTAAATCATCTCCCCTCTCTGTAACTGCGTATAAAATTAGAGCAGGTAGGGATTAGCAGAGATTTAAAAATCCAAAAAATGCTTGAGGGCTACATTAATCTACTTAACAACAGAATACATTTCCACTGCAGCCAATATTTTTCCTTTTGGCAGTTGCCTGAAGAGCAGCTTTTTTACATTTCTTCAGGTGATGAAACGCAGAGAAAAAAGATTCCACAGTTGCGTTAAGTAGACATATACATAAGACGGCATAAATAAATCAGTTTATCATCGACTGATGACTGCTCAAGTGTTAGCAGCAGCTAGCTGTAACTGTAGCTTCCTAAAAGTCACAAAAGAACTTGAATAAATAAACGTACTAAACTGGCTTCTACGGGTCAGCTCTGTGATAGCTTGTAGCGGCTACACGCTAAACATAAGCACGCTAAAAACCTCACTTCCATGGAAGTGGGGCTTCACTAGTCTATTATCAGTGGGTGGTGGGGAAGCTAGCTTCCACATGATGAATGGACGATCACTTTTGGAGGAAAAAGCACTTTGTTATAGACAGTGACGTGTCATTTAGAGACAGACTGCAGCCCATTCTTTCATACGGATACTGTAAATACAGACTCTAGCTATTTGTTGGTGCGGTTTTGTTTTTGTATCACCGTGTTCTTGTTGTTCCTTCATTCGTATAATGTTTCCCCTAAAGCGAGAGTGGAGGATTTCTTATTTAAATGGCCCTGATCTGTCGTTCTGCTTTTATAATGTTAAAAAACCCCTGTATCATATACTACCACTGCTCTGATCCGTCGTTCTGCTTTTATAATGTTAAAAAAAAACAGTAGCGTTTCGGCTTTGTTGATAAGAACAGAAGTTGGATGACACACTACATCTGTGTGGCATTTTTAAAACAACGTAATATCTGTTGATTTTTTTTTTTACTTGACTTATAATTATTATAATTAGAATAATTGTAATTACATTATACAATTATATATACTTAATTAACATTATTATTCCCTGATTGCAAAGTTGCGATAACAATTTCTAATCACACAACAGAAGTTATATTTGTTGTATGGTTCCCTCAAACAAACCTTTTTTTTTTTTGCTAATGTAATACATATATATGTATGTAAATTTTCCCTTATTATTCTTAATTCTTAATCTTAATAACAAGTCAAATTACAGATGATTTTAAGAAACACAGGTGGTGGATTTGAACCTGCGCCCTCCTGGAGGGGACCAGGCCACTGCTGATATGAAATGTAAAATTCTATACATATTTTCCTGGTTTCCTTTTTTATATATTCTTAATGTTATTGTTTATAGTTAATTAATTAATCCAAGCACTTTTTTTTACAAATTTAAAATGTATATAAAAATGTGGTAGTAGTAGTAGCCCACTTTTTTTTACAAATTTAAAATATATATATATAAAAATGTGGTAGTAGTAGTAGCAGTAGTTATATTAGTAGTATTGGAAAGACTAGTCCTGTGATGAAGGCTAGTTTTAAGTCCATCACTTAAACCTGAAGATGACAGCGACGCTGTAATAGTAGGATTCTTCTAGCTCCTGGTTTGGTTTCACATTTCACCTCAAACCCAAAACGACTTTCCTGAATTAAAATGTTATTTTCTAATATTAAAGGAAACCAAACGGCTGATATTTGCTGTCTCAGTTCTGCTTCATCTTAATTCTGTATCACTTACCCACATCTCATTTCATTCATTCCACTTCTTGGCCTTGCATTTTTCTCTTGATTAACTCACCACTCTTCCAGTTTGTCGTCACCTGCCTCTCATTAGGACGTGATGTATTTGTTCCTATTTCCTGCCAATAAGTTCACGGCACGCAATTCATTATTTTTCTAACCTGTGTTTGACGACACAGCGTCACAGCTTACCCATCACTGAACTTGGTTTCCATTTAATGCCTTCTTGGATCAGAAGATAAATCCTGTTGTTTGGTTTTTTTTTTTAAATCCTCACCTGTGTCAATCATTTCTGCTCTCTACGCAGGTAATGACAGTAAATGACAAAAGGTCAGAAGTCTGAGCACCACAGAGTTATAGCTTTTCTATCATATTCATTATATTCAAGATAATAATGGTAGAAAATATTTCATCAAAATAAAAAAAAAAGAGACTTCCACTTAGGGATAATGCAACAACTCCTATATATATATAATATAATATATATATTATATAATGTTTTTATCTATATATCTTTCTACCCATCCATCCATCCATCCATCATCATCCATCTATCTGGTTGAAATAACCATGATTATATATATATACTGTATATAAAGCATGTCATTTCTTTTCAAAAATGAAAACGTGTCCTGTCAATTCAGTGTCTCATCGTCATCTTTAAATAACACGAGATATTCAATCCAAATCAGTGTTTTCCCTCCAAAAAACATAAGTATATTTCTTCATGGCTAATCTTACAACACATATTTTTTCACAATTTTTCACTTCTTTTTTTTGCCTGATCCTTGATGTCATCTCGTCTATTATTTAGTAAGCATTCTGTTTTTTTTCTATAATTTGTAAAAGCCTCCCGTCTATTATTTAGTAAGCATTCTTTTTTTTTTTTTTTCTATAATTTGTAAAAGCCTCCAAACTCTCTGGTCATGGATGTGTTCCTAAATTCTCTCCGTTGATATGCAAATACCATGCATTCTTAATGGTTAGGACCCAGCTGCAGTATTTAACTAAATGAAAAAGGACAAAAAAAAAAACCCTCATTGGCAGCTATTCAAAGTCGAGTTGTTGATTCTCTCTGTGCCTTTGCACAGAGAGGATAAGTACTGTACAGTTTTTGATTTAGGAAGGCTTAGTGTTAGCTCAGGTTGTTGAGGCATCTGTTGAAAAAGGAAGCCAGGGGGAAAAAAAAACGAATAAAGCAGGAGAGAGTGTGCTTAGCCCCAAGCTAGCTACTGGCTGGTTTTCCAATGAAACACATGGGAGTGAAACTTGATGTAGCATTACCTCAAGCAAAAACCAGGTTTGTTCTCACACGCTGATGCTAGCTAAGTTTGAATATGTTGCAAAAGGAAATACATCATTTGAGATGATAAAAGTAAGATGTGTTGCTCTGTGGCATCGACGAAACCACTGGACAATCTCCAACTGATGCAGTGACGCAGTACATGGTTGACATTACAAGAAGGTCGGTTGTTTTATTAATGATTCAATAAAACCACCTAGCTCACGACTGTAGATTAGAGAGTAATGAATAGTTATGGAGACCTGTGAGGTATACAGTATGAACCATATCAAGTTTTTATGTCGGTTTTACAGTTTGATGAAGGTACTCCCTAGTGCTACTACAAGGGTACCATCATCAGCGTATTATAATGTGACTACTAATGTGTGATTAATCCATTGCCACATCAGTGGGGCTAATTATTAGGGATGGATTTTTCACCTGCTATACCGATACTACAAATGGGAGTATTTCATAACTTATGTCAGTACTTCTCGAATAGTGGGGCAGGGCCCCCTGGTGGGGCGTGAGGGGCTTCCAATGGATATTATATGGCACGTTGGACATAAGTGTACCACTGCTGTAATGATTAAATGATAACAAGCCTCCAGTCACTAGGTGGCAGCAACTCATACAGTGGTTTGTGGTTTCTGTCCAAATATTGCAGATGCAAAAAATGGTCACAATTGGCTAAAATTAAAAATATAGTGTAAAAAAAGCACAGAGTTAAATACTAGTATCTAAAATTTACACATATAGTTTGTCCAAATATTGCAGATGCAAAAATGGTCACAATTGGCTAAAATAAATAAAATATAGTGTAAAAAAAGCACAGAGTTTATTTGTACTTACCAAGACTTCCCCTATGAACAAATTCGCCTGTTCTTCTTCAACAGTGAAATTGGTCGGTAGGGTGAGGTTGAAGGCCGGGTCGTTATCATTGACGTCAGTCACGACTATGTTTACTGTAGTGGTGGATGTCTACAAAAAAAAAAAAAGAAAAAGTGCAAGTTAGTCAAAAATCTTTTACATTTTGTTTTGAAACAAATCCTACCCTATCCTAGCAAAATATATATACAGTCACAACTAACTGGATGTCAAGAGCGGCGGACCATTACAATCATAACATAATTACCTATAAACAAAAGTATGTCCATGTTTTTCTCCTTTTTTCAGTACATTTCAGTACACTTTTTTCAAGCTCGTAACTCGAGGTTCAACTGAATTTACTTTATTTGTGCCACAGTCAGAAAACGTAACTAGTTTGTACTTTTGTTTCCTATGTGAGAAAATTATCCTTTTAACAAAAAAATGAGGTCACCTCCAATTGGTAACCTTTATTTGATCTGGGTGCTGTAGCGAAACAAAAGATCATTATAAGGTGTCGTCCTTGTAGAGCAGGGCAGGTTGTGACAAAGTTAGAGGTTCAATACGTTTGTGTTTTGTGAGTGGAATCAAAAGGCGTCTGAGAGGCTACGTGTGTGTCTCAAAAACAGACATTTTCAGACTCAAAAAACCCAGACAAGTCCAACACCAGGAACAACACGCTCGCAGGTACTTAAAGATGGAAGGACGCAGACGAACTTGTTCCTACAAACAACAGGATGCCAGGTAAACTGAAGGATGTAAATGAGGAGCTGAGAGGCTGGAGATAGAGGTGAGTCTGAGGAAGTCTGCTTTTATTTAAGTGCCTAGAAAAACATTTAACTGCAAAAGAAACCCTCCACAGTCGCAAAATCAAAGCTCATATATCACACAGCAAGGTAAGACAATTAAAAAAAAAAAAAGAGATGATAGGACCTGATCAAACTGTGTCTGCACTTTTAGAAAGAAAGAGCCGCGCGTTAGCAGCACCATGCTAAAGTAAAAAAAAAAAAAAAGCTCTGAAACAGCAGACACAACACCGCAGGGTAGAGAAACTGTTGGATGTCTTGAACAAAGACCAAAACGAGGTTCAGCCGTGTTCAGACTTAGCATCAATCAGAGTCGTCCCTTTGGTTTGGACGCAACAATTTGACTGAGCTCAAGTTCAACGAGCGCACACACTCTGTTCTTTGGAGTCTCCGTTTAACGCGTAAACACCGACTCCAAAAATACAAAAAAGCAACATCTTTTATATCTGCTAGCACTGTGGCAATTTGACACTAGGTTTAGCATCTTCTCCTTGTTACAAGACAATGTTACAAGAAATGACAAAATAAGAAAAAAGTTAAAGAAAAAATCAATAATAATTCAATTAAATCATTCTTACTTGTTTAGCATTAGCAAATTATTAACACCACATTAACGATTACACGGTTTACGTGTCGTACGGTTCAAGACAAAGGGTTATTAAAGAAAATGAACACAATTGAAGGCCTCCCTAGCGCCCTCTGCTGGCACCACCTTTTGAAAAAGATATATAAGGCTGGGAGAAATAGACCGTAAAAAACAAACAAAACAAACTAGAAAATATCTATTTAAAACCAAAATGGAAAGATCAGACATTTAGTGGTATATGTCATGAGAAAAACAAGCTAATGTCACATTCATCTGTCTCACTCTCTGCCAGGAACTGTTCATTAATGCTTGTTTTTTTTTACGTGAGATTTTCATGCACATGTAATCCATCCTTTCATGTTCTAAAGGCATTAAAAAGCTAAATCTGTCAAATTCCACGGCTCTATTTCACTCTTTGGTCATTGGTTAGGAGCTCACTGAGCGCCATTAATGAGCTACTGCTATTATTTATTCAACCTCCAACAGATGACATCTTTTTTTTTTACCACTCATGGTTGCCAGAAAGATCCAGATTTGGACGAGGGTTTTGTGTTCTGACTGACAATCCTGACACCAGGCAGTTTCAACCACTGTTTCCTAATCATCCATTCTGCACAGTTGCTCTGATTACAGCTATTATCGTTAGACATTGTAATGCCATAACGACGAACAGTTTACAATTGGTAATTCCGCACACAAGGAAATCAAGAGCTTTAACTTAATGTTGAAATACTAAGAAAAGTTTGCTGGGGCTCAAACACCCGACAATACAAGGAGACAGAGGGTTTCTTTGCTCTTTGTCAGGTTTCCATGGTTACCAACGGTTCTGTGCTAATTACTACATAGTTGAATCTTTGGATTCAGTTTCGCTTCCTTTGTTGCCTTCTTGTATCTACCGTCTCCTTCCGAGTCTATTTTTTTTTCAGCCATTTTTTTTTTGTCTTACACAAAACGTACCTCACAATCCCCCCTGTTGCAACCGCTCGCCTGTGTTTCCCCTTTTTTTGTTTTAGTTGTGACTTCTTGCCTGCACAAGTCCACCAGGAATTTACTCTGTGGACAAGATTCTTGGCAGAAGGAAAGAAAAACATGGCACAGGGTGATCTGGGCCATGTTTGTGCACTCGGGCATCTTTTAACTTCCCCAATCTGTTGGGTCAAGCTCCATTTTAGTTTTGCAGCTGTCCATCCTATAACAGCTAGTCCACATTTGAAGATAAATAACAAACTGTATGTATAAATGTATATATGTACATGTAACACATTTGAAGATAAATAACATATGTATAAATGTATATATGTACATGTAAATATACTGTATATAGATAAATATACATATTAGGGATGCACCAAAGATTTTCTGCCGAAAATGGTCCTGAAGTGCATTTTCGGTTTCCGTCCGAAAGACTTTCATCACCAAAACAACACGACCGAAACAGGAAGTTATGATGACGCAAGAAAAAAACCGCAGCCAGAGTGGTGTGGACATATTTCAATATCATAATAATTTATTTCGGTGTTTCGGTTTTCGGCTTTGGTTCCCTCATTTTTGGTTTTCCGTATCGACCAAGAATTTTAATTTTGGTGCATCACTAATACATATAAATATATAAATTAGGGCTAAGCAACGATGAAAAGTTTTAAAAACAAATAATTGCATGACTTCTTTACAATGAATCACGATTAATATAAATATACATATATATGTAAATTACATGAACATATGTACACACATATATATATATTTTAATTTTTTTAATTTGACATTGACAACTGGATTAGTTGACTTCACTATCAAACCCATGTGGGGAACTGACAAAGACTGCCAAGTCTGGATCTGGTGTGCCTGGTGTGGATCAAACCAAACCTTGGATCGTAATCACACAAGTCTGCTTATTTAAAACAGCAGCACTAACAGGATTTTTTTTTTTCGCATAAGGTTAAAAATGATGCAATTCCACCAGGTTAAAAAGGCACACGGGGTAAAAATGGCACAAACAGCTAACGGCAAGTGCAGACACGAATACATGGAGAACCTGTTCATCGAAAGGACAGAAATATCTTTTTGAATAATCCTTGGTAAAGGACATAAATACAACTCACATATCTGACAAAAGCTTCAAAAGTATATATACATAGATACATATATACATATATATGTATGTATATAAATATGTATATATATGTGTGTACACACAAAATTGCTACTTATATATACTACTAACAATTATTGAACTACTATATATATATATATACATAGACATAT